AGTTAAACTTTCTAAAATTAATTACGATAAACCCTACACTGTACAGTTTAATCCTTGTACTATTAATTATAATTTAAACTACATCTGCCATTTATTTGCCAACTCACTAAATGACCTAAATCCTTTTGTAAATTAGCAGCATCCTCTTCACAGCTAGCAACACCCAAGACCTTAATATCATCTGCAAATTTAAGTAATTTATTGACTATTCCTTCATCTATATGATTGATGTAAATCATAAAGAGCAAAGGTCCTAAAACTGAGCTCTGAGGTACCCCACTTGTGACATTAATCCAGTTTGACTGAACCCCATTTGTAACAACCCTCTGCTTTCTTCCATCCAGCTACTCTTCTATCCAATTTGCTAACTTATCCCCCACACTTATAGAGCTTTTTGTTTTACAAGCCTTTTATGTGGCATCTTGTCAAATTTGCTCATACTGTCTATCAACAACAGTAGTCTGATTAATAACTCATAAATCAGGAATTAATTAACCTGCTGATACTGTCTATCAACAGTAATCTGATTAATAACTCCTAAATCAGTACTAAATTAACCAGCCCATACTGTCTACCAACAACAGTAGCCTGATTAATAACTCATAAATACATAATGAATGAATCTGCTGATACTGTTTATCAACAGCAGTAATCTGATTAATAACTCATAAATTAATACTGAATTAACCTGCTGATACTGTCTTTCAACAACAGTAACCTGATAAATAACTCATACTGCTGATACTGTCTGTTAACAACAGTAGTCTGATTAATAACTCATAAATCAATATTGAATTAATCTGCTGATACTGTCTATCAACAACAGTAGCCTAATTAGTAACTCATGAATTTTATTTATAATGAATTAGCCTGCTGATACTGTATATCAGCTGTTGATCATCTTGAAGCTTTGGATAACCCAAACATACCCTGTTTTCCTCTGAAGAAGTGGGTAGCTTGCTTCTTTATATAAACCTGGGTGTTCATGTAAAAGTAACTTAGTGTTATATTTGACTGCAATTACTTTGTACCAAATGCAAATACAAATCCACAAAATAAGGTCTTCAATGCAAAAAATTATGTTGAAAATCATGATGTACTGAAAAGTTTTGATCAAAAGTAAAATCACAGGTAAAAATAGAACATAAAGAAATAAAACACTGAAGGTTTAGCATTTTTAAACACCTATATGTTTTAATAATGCTTGGAGAAGGCTTGAATGGGTAATGAAGAAAAACTTTAATATAAGTTTACTTATATTAAAGTTTTTCTTTATTACCCATTTAAACTATCTCTAAACATTATTAGCCTCAAAGTGGGTTACTCGTTATCAAATTTGAACCTGTATGTTTTATTATAAATTGTGATAATATCAAAAAAACTACCAACCTGAAAGATGCAGGCCTTCTGCCAAACCATAAGGGGCATAGCTAAAGATTAACATTATGGCAAATTCCAAGGATGGATTCTTACGTAGATCAATATATTTTAACAAGTGATGAAGTTAAAGAAAACATCCTTCTTGAATTTTTTAATACTGTGAAAAAATTATTAGTTATTGTTTTGTAAAAATTACAATTTTTAGTAGTATAGATAAGGTTGTAATCTATGGCTCTTTGAAGTTAGTGCTTTTACTAACAAAATTAATCTTTAATACTGCATTAAGTATGAATTTAAACATACCCAAAGTTAATGTTTTGTTGCAATAAACAAATCAGTTTAAGCAATCAAATTCAAACTTTTATTAAAAAATACTTGACTTGAAATTTGTCACAAAATATAATTGAGCGTGATCAAACTTTATTTCACACTAGAATGAAATTAACTCACACTTTTTTTAACCAAAATGTTACTTTGAAGTGGACTCGATAAAAACAGTGGAAACACTAACAAAGAAGAGATTAAGTTTTTAAGAATGACAAATAAATATGATAAAAGTTAAATATTCATGAAAAAGGTTCTTAAAAATATCAAAAATCAAAGGATATCAAAGCAGCCATCAAAGCAAATGCAACACCAATTCCTGCAGAAGCGAAAAACATCATACAAAAACGGCCTATGGCATGAAGAACTGCTGCACTAGTGCTCAGGGTAGCCATCTCAGGTTTGGAAGACTCCAAAACAGTTCTGAAAGTTTAGCATTCATTAAAGATTTGAATAAAAAAATAAGAAAAGCAACAATTCCTTGGGGAATTTATAAACTAAATATTTTATCTAAGCTGAGAATATGTTGGTTTTCTTGTTTACAAGTTTAAAATTTGAACTGATTGAAAAGCCATTTTCTACAATAGCCTGTCGATGTGACAGGACCAACCCAATCTTCACAAGACCATATTTCAAAGTATTTCTATTTTCCTTTCAGATATTCATAAAAAAAATATCTAATGCCACCATCCTACTTTAATACCAAAAACAGTGGCTATGTTGACAGTTACAACTATCCTCTAAAAACTGTTTGAATTGTGCTTGAACCATAATAAAATTTTTATTCTGGAAAATATTTTAATTCCACAAAATATGTCAAAAATTTCTCATTAGGTGTTTTGGAGATTCAAGATGGGTGTGTTTTGTTTTGTTTCTGAGCAAAGCCACACAAAAGATATTTGCATTATGTCCCCAATAGGGAATCAAAAATGTGATTTTAATGTTATAAGTCTGTAAATTTACTACTGACCCATCACAAGATACTTCTTCTTCAGTCTGGTTTGGGAATTTGGGTTTACATTCATTCCATTGGTGCTGTCTGGAACTTGTGTTTAAAGGTGTGGTTTCTTTGAATTGTAGTTTTGGAATTTGGCTGTCATTACATATTATGGGTTTTCCAAGGAATGTAAGCACCAAGTAAAGATCATAAGATAATTAGACTTAGCAATGATAAAATCAATGATAATAATAAAATACTATTCCATTTTATTATCATCAATTTTATCATTACTAAACCTGTAGCACATAATTCACAACATACATGGAGTTTGTTACTGATAAGTATTTTACTTATTTATCATATCAGCTAGGATTTCATGCTTTTAGGTTTACATGTTTTTATTACTATTAATACACTTAAGCCCGAAGCAGCAACATTAGACCTGGCAATACAGATACATACTTTTGGTTTTGAATTTTGTTTTTCTGAATGGTAGTTACTTTAACACAGACCTACAACTTTGATAGAATTTTAATATTCATGCACAAATATCAGTACAATAATATTATTTTAGCAATTAATGTATAGCATATAATATTTCATATATATATATTTATTAACAAATACAATATTTATGTATAATATGCATATGTAATACATCACAGAGAGGCAGAAAATTGGCTTGGTTTTTTTCCCTTGCCTTTCTAAAGATGAAGGAAAGTTGCATTAAATCATCTAATTTATATTAGGTGCTTGGTATTAAACTGAATAATTCATTTATAATGTTAAATAAAGTAAATGAGATACACATAATTAATAAACAAGTAAGAGGCTTCTGCTGGCTAGTTGCCTCCCTGTGATTGTTGGTTTGGAGGTAGGGATGATGCCACACCCATGGACTGCACTCTGACAAAGTGCTGCAACAGAACACTATTATTGTAGGTAGAGGAGACTTTGACTGGTTGGCGCTAAACTCATCTAGCACATGATATTTGTTCATATATAGTTTAATTTAATATTGGTCTAAACACAGTTGTAGGTTTTTGTTTTTAAGTTCTACTAATTTAACACAGGATTAGACATAGATTTAATTACACTGTTACCAGCTGCTTAGTATAAGTACATGTGCCATGTGTTTGATTTCAGTATATTGCATTTAAAAATATCTATGTAGGTTTAGTAGTTATCCTGTTCAAATACAGTAATAGACTGTGTTTTGTTTCCTACTTATAGTGTTACAATGTGTTCAGTTGTAGGCTTAGTACATGGTCACTATGGTTGGATGATAACACTAGTGTTTAGTCTTAAGTGCATTAAGTTACTGAGAGCTTATTTATAAATAAAGTATTGTCAGTAAAATTGGAGTTTGCTTAGTTTAGTTTTAGCATATGATCAGACATTAGTCTGAGAAAAGGACTAATCTATTAGTAAAATCAGTCCTAGTTCTAGTCACCTAAAGCCTAGTTAGGGTGGATGAATCTCTGGATATGGGATCAATGGTCAACATCACTTAGATCTGCAAGCACTACCAAACAGTACCACACATACTGGGTAGATTAAGAGATCATCAGTGTGGAAACCACCTCACCACACACTGTTACTAGGTGTAAACAATATGGAGATGTTTAGCTACTGATTACAAGTAGGGCTGGTATGCATAAAGTCTTGTGCCAGGGAGGATACTCAGCAGTCAGAGGGTATTTTTAACCCTATAGGCCATTGTACACACGCCTCAAGAATGGCAACCCATTCTAATAAGCTACTAGCTCATCATTAAGCTGTCTTGTTAGGGTAGACAGGACTAACTTGTAAATGGAATTCTCAAAAACTGAACAGCGAGTTGTTATTATATTGTTTTGCTTACAAACAATGATATATTATAAAACAGTGCCCAGACAGGTACCCACAGGAGCAACAATGATTGTGTACTCAGCAGGAGACCTTGACTGCCAAGCAGGGGAAAAACAGGGAAACGAAGGTTTAAACATCTAAAAATTGCACCAGTCTGACATTATGACATGATATTGCAATGTCAAGAGGATCAAATATTGCTTTGTGAAGCTCTCTGAATTTTATCACATCATATTTTTTCAAGTCTTAAAACCCAGACCTTGAGAAATTCACTAACTGGCCTTAACTTAATTCCACATGCTAATCCAGAAAGTGGGATGACCATTGCTGTTAAACATAACAACAGAATCCACTATGATTATGACAGCTGTCAGTTGTACAACATTTGCAAGCTACAAACCATCCAGATAACTCACCTAGTTACAAATTCAATTCACCATTGTGTAGATAAAAAGTTACACAATATATCATGATGAAGACTGGAGGTTCCTATCTGACCTGTCTGATAATGTTCCTATGTATTTAGCAGTAGGATACTTCAATGCCAGATACACCACTAGGGATGTGGTTGTAAACACTACTGGCAAAGGCTTATATTTATTCTGCTCTCCACAATATAACCAACAACATTATACTGCTAAAGTCAGGAGAACTAATAAGAGTTCCTGAGTGCCTAAAGTGCTTTTGTTAACACCACCTTGAATGCCATCTCCACCTAGAATAGGGATAATGTCTACATTGACCACACTGTGTGTAAAGTGAGTGTGAAGACTGGAAGACAAAGTGGTATAAAACAATCTAGAAACCTACACAAAGATATCATGCTTTCTGGCAGTGCTCATACTCTTAAGTATGTCTTAACCATCAAGCAAAGTCAGGGTAAGATACATTAACTCTTTTATGCATAAATATGGTCAATTTGACCCACCCTGGAATTACCTTGTAATTGTGAAGCTATAAATTCTATAATTCTAAATGTACTTCATACATCTTCAGAAAATTTGGCAAGATTTTGATATAAACATTTATAAGTATGTTGTACACAAACAAATCAGATACTTTAAATACTTTTACTAAATACTTCTCTGTGAATATATGATGTCATTATTGAGTAAATCTGAGTGAAAGGTGATTTTCATGTTAAGAATAAAAATATTTATTTTCACATTAGTTTTATTTCATGTGCATATCCACTAGAACTTTCTAAATGAATATCAAAGTATATTTTTGATAGAACTTTGTATTTTATCTCATATTTTCTCTACCTTAATACTAACTGTAGCAAAACAAATAATGTACATCTGTTTTCTTTCACTTCTATAGCTTGTACCAGGGAAGAAGTTTATATACTTGTGAAAAACAACAAATCACAGCAGGAACACACTAGCAGTTTCTTGATCACTGCACATGAACTATGCAAATATTACACTCACACACGTAATTCTACTAGATCTTTTTTTTTTGTCACCCCTCCTATTATATTAGTCACTAGAAAAAGATACCCCAAAACTACAAAAAGCAGTGTACACATTATTATTGTATTAAAAAAATGCAGGATGGGAGGAGCTTCTTTGATGGGTTTGACAAATTTATCAATATCTCGGCAAATCAAGAAGGTGGGAAATTCAAATTTTATATTCTTGCTTGTAATTATACATAGTTTATGTTTATAATTGGTTAGTAACAACAGATATATTATTAAAGTTATAAAACCTAAAGGGAAGAGTTCAGAGTGCAGATGTGTCACATGACAAAGACAAGTGAAGATTATGAATTTGTTTAAATATTTCCTTTTGGAAAGTACACAATCAAGCCCAGACTGAATTTATTTGGATAAGACAGAAAGAGGAGAGGATTCCTCACAATATGGCATTGCTCTCTAAAGGAAGTTAGCTTACCAAAAAAATGAGATATGAAATGGAATGAATATACAGCAAGGCCAATCTCACAAGTACATTAAGAAATCGAAACTTAAATAAGATAAAGATTTTAATTATGAACAATGTTTCGATGTCAAGTGTATTGACTTACATTGATGATAAAGTTACTTAATTAAATCTTAAATGTAACTATAAAAGGTCATGACACACATACTTTCATCATGTAGTACAGAAAGAGGTGACCATGGTGACATGCAAAAGAGATAATCCCTATTTCAGATACACTACATGCTGAAATAGAAGCCATGTTTAGCTTGGATGAAATATAATGATCCATAACCACACCTAAAGATGGAGCTTTAGGTCCAGATGGGATAAAAATATCCATATTTAAGAACCTTATAACTGTTATCTTTCTCAAATAATTATCCAAACCCATCAAATACAACTCTCATGAGGATGAGGCATGCTAGCTCTGTCCCTCAACTGAGAAACAAAATGTTCAGCATGTACTCTAATGTCAGGTGAAGGAGAGAAAACAAGGTACTCTAATAGTGTGTCATGTAATAAGAAAGGAACAGGTTCATAGGAAACTGGGGAAAGAGATAAAATGGCACACACCTGAAAAATCATATTCAAAAAAGGATGCCAGGCCTAGCAGATTCCACAGGGGGGGCTTGGGATAGCACAGCATAATGAATAGGAGGAAAAAGGATATTAACCCTTTTGAGACGGGTCACAGGTGAAAGGCC